CGTGACTACAGACGGTGAGTCGAGACGAATTATCCAGCCTTCTCACTCTTCCTTATTGTTATGTAGGAAACTTAAAGATGAGAATTCCAGGGGCATCTGCGATGAAGCGTTTCGGGAGGCTGATGCACGATGCTTCGTTGCCACGGCCTTTCTACCATCAGGTCTGTTATGCACATGCTTTGCATTTAGCCGTGTCGGAGACCTTCGAATCGAGCCGTAACGACAGAACGGAACGATCAAACCGAAGGAGCATAGCTCTCATAATAGATGACATCAGGACCATTGCCAAAGACTTCAAAACCACGAAACGCTTCGGTCAACTAGAGAGGAAGACTGACTTAAGGGTACAGCTCGATTCGCCGACCCGATGGAACAGTAAAATGCATATGATGGATAGATTCCTTCGGCTGCGGAAAGATCTCCGATCAATCTATGAAGCCGACGGGAAGTTCTCCCCCATTTCCAAGAGGGAGACTAGAGCTGTGAAGAGCTTAGTCGAGGTATTGAGACTGGTGGATCGCACCACGCTGGAATTGTCCAAAACGAGGCTGGATCGTCTCGAAGCTGATGTTGCCCTTGAGGTAAGATACTCTCAGAGTAATCAAGCTGAAGTGAATCATTACGTCATACCTCCCATTTCCTACTGATTCGGATAGATGCGTCGAGTTTGATCTGGTACCGTATGCTCCGGCGTACAACAAGCGTCTCATCTCGGAATACAGGATGTTAAGGTGCGGAAGGACTTCCTCCGTTAGGTGGGGGTGGGAGAATCGGTCAGAAACGAAAAGAGAAGCAGGCCGCCGGGTAGTTCCGATTCGCCTTGTGAAGGCTCAGGGAGATGTCGAGTCCCGAAAAAATACCTCCCGAATGCTTGTGCTTTGATTTCTTTGGCTCCCTGATTCCGCGAATTGAAAGTCTGCGTTGCGGGTTGCGGGCTATGTTGTCGAAAGTGAACAGACACGGAGTAGACGAATTCCGTTCAGTCCCTATGTCCTCCCGCGTTGCACTCATTCCATTCAAACCTAGTGGCGAATTTGACTCACGAGCGGGACTCTCGAACCGGATAGGTTTGAGCTTCATACGCGATGAGGAAAAAAATTCCATCCGAAGGCTCAACAGACGAGGAAAGACTTGAGTCCGGCAATGCCACTGAGTTTCGGAAAAAACGTGGGAGATACAGCTATGGTTCTAGCGGCAACATTATGCGCTAACTCGAGTTTTCCACCGACGCCAAGTTTTTAATAAGCATTGAGCCTGGCCCGGAATATGCGATTTTCAGTAAGCTCGGCCTACTGCCTCTCTCGGATTGAAATTCGGGAGCTGAACCCGTAGCGGAATTGAGGGAAATGCATACTACGTGATAGAAATGTGGAGTCTGTGACACGATGTTTCTAACACGAAGATCGAGAGGAAGATTCGCCTGCTACATTCGAGAAAAGAAGGAAGCATTTTTGAAGGGTTAAATCTCCCTCGAATGAGGGAATCGGGTGGCCGGGAAAGGTGCGGTGGTCTGCACGCCCCATATGCATTCGGGATGAGCATTTTCACGACGTGAAATGTCCGTTGCAGCATGGAACGTATGAAGTCGAACATTGACAGCAGAGCTGTCGTTCCCTGCGGAAAAATCCACTCCGAAGATACTCCGGAGAGCATTTGAAAACGGTCTACTTTACCGCGTACCGCAGCTTAGAGACCGTTCCGTCAGTGACGTCATTGCTGCCTCGGCCGCTCCAAATAAGCGGCGCGGCGCCCGGACTACAACCTCGGGCCTCGGGGAGTAAATCTGCCTGAGAGTGAATCAGGTGCTGGATAATGTCTTCGGTGGAAGACATTATCGGAGAGGTGACTGCTCTGAATCCTTGCTCATTTCCCCCTTTACATAAAGCGCTTCCGTCTGAAAATCTCCTTTGAGGACCCATTCATTCCATCAACATCTTTCCCACAATGGGGGCCACCACTTGACCACTTTTCCAATAGAGTGGTTTCCTCTGACACCCCATGCTCATCATCAGAGAAGACCTACTTCACGGCTGTCGTGGTGACGCGGCCCACACTGCGCTTCGTCCTCCTTCACTGCGCACTATCGCGATAATTGAATTCCTCCGGAATCTTAGAGAGTCCTACTCCGTGTATAAATTCCACATCGTAACTCTACGTTGAATTTACTCTCTTTGTTATCGTGACTCTGCTTTCAACTGCGCTTTGCTCCTTATCGTGACTCGACTTCGATTGCGCACGGATATGTCGGTGGCCTCGCGGAACACAGACTGCGACTCTCCAGATTCCAGCGACATCGACTTCGACCCCGAGGTCAATCGTAAGCGCACAAGGTGCAAAGCAATGGCTTTACGTCGCTTGAAGGCAACACCAGCGCAACGGCAGCGTCGCCTGCAATCGGAAGCTCTCCAACATTCGATTCAACGCGCTAACCGAGGGAACCCTCCCTCTTTACAGCTAGCTCTTCGCTCGAGAAAGTCAGATTTGCATTATTTAGGATCCATGTCTGCCACATGCTCTAACTGCTCCGCGATGCATTTCGAATGAGAACGGAAGAAACAACATCCGTTAATTTTTTAGACTGCTGTAACCTCGGCCGTTTCAATCTTGACAAATTCCACAATTTCCCTATGCTGCTCCAGCGACTTTACCATCGTACCCCTGATTCGAATTCAGATTTCACGCGACTCCAGAAAAATTTTCACGACTTTATCCGGAATTACAATTCGTCTCTCGCTATGGCCTCAATGGGTGCACAAATAGAAACACCGAAAGGACCAGGACCAAACTGCTTTCGTATCCACGGCCAGATATACCATAATATACTAGGATCACTCCATCCCGAGGATGGCCAACCGAGACAGTATGGCCAGATCTATATTCTTGATACGGAAGAGGCAGCGGCACAGAGGTTATCTCCACCGCAGAACGAGCATTGCGACCCCGCTCTGATACGAGATTTAGGGAGACTCATCTCACAACAGACATAAACCCTTATGCTAAATCATTCAAAATGATGTCAGAAGTCGAACAAGCAGAAATCGCGGCTGCTAAGGCACAGAATCGACAGAAGTTGACCCTCCGAATGGTTTTCCATAACGTTCGTCCACACGGGCTATCGGGGAGAGTCTATGACGTCCCCACGGCGAATGAAGTCGCTGTGATCTATGTGGGACTCGAACGCCTCACGTCTATGAACGCCTTCACATTTGCTTCAGTCTGACATGGAAGGAACGAATGACGCACATTTCCTCTCACTGAGCAGGACTCGCCAGGGGAGAGAGTCCAGCCGATTCGCGGCCAGAGGCCGCGATGTCGGCTGGTTATTCATATCTGCTCTGAGTGAGAGCTACAATTTGCTCGCAGATTCCAATGGGATGCCGTCCGATGAATGCAGGTGAACGGCTGCAGGCAGGTATTACGAGTCAATAAAGTTCATCTATGGAAATGAGGTCTACTGATAAGGATTGACTGTCTCAATGCCTCTCCCGAAAGGCTCCATGAGCAAATCCTCGGAATCATCGTGCTCCAAAAACTTCACCGACTCTCTTTTGGAGTAGAAATTCATCGGTAACGTTCTTTCCAAAGATTTGGAGCTTCATTGTGGCTACGATTGGGAGTCTTATTGTTCTCAAGGACCTCGGAATTCTCATTTCTTCGAAGCTTGATCCTGACGCCCGCATCACCGATGCCCTGAAGAGATCGGGTAGGGTTGCTTTCATCCATCGAGCATTTGTCAGTCGACTGCCGCGAACCTACATCAGAGCATACAGGACTCTTGTGCTTCCAATCCTGCTTCACGGATCCCCTACCTGGAGACTTTGGCTCAAGAGGCATATTCGTGCCCTCGAGAACTTCCAGAGAAACTGTTTCTCCGTCGTACCGCCTACAAGTGCGGAATCGAAGTGAGCTGCCTCGAACTCCCATCTATCTCCACAGCCCTCGACGGAGCCGATCGCAGACTGTGCCTTTTTATCATCATCGCCGATTCCGAGTCCCCGTCGCCCGGAAAAATGTTGTTCACCACTCCTCCCGATGGAGAGTGAGCCGCCGCTCTGATGTGAATGAAATTCTTTCCGCTTAGAGCAATAACTTGTTTATCTTAGTTTCCTCGAGCTTCACTAATAAACTTGAGTGTACACCAAAAAAAATGCATATATTCTACTTTTCAGGAGTTTCTCGGAAGATTTCTGGAATCCCGGTGAATTTGCCGAGTAATATGTACCGCTTACAGGCGACAAACTCCTCCAATTTCCGTGAGTTAATGGGCGTTGGGCGTTCACGGAGCCGTTCTGACGGCACCTTCAACGGACCCGTTTTGCCGGCACCGTCAACGGACCCCTTTTTAACGGCACCGTTAACGGACCCGTTTAGACAACACTTTAACGGAGGAGTGCTGGAGGCGCCGTTAAGGAAGCCGTGCTGACCGCGCCGTCAAGCCGGTATCACGGCGTGAATGCCTAGTAGTGGGGAAGAGATTCATACCGGAGAGAAAACGGGGGCAGATCATTGAACTCTAATTCCAGGGGCACTAATATGGTGAAACTCGAATTCCTTGTTCACTCTAAGCCACCCATGACACCCTGCTCGGAGCTTCCCGGAGACGTTATGGAGGATATGGTCAGGTCGCAATGAATCTGACTGATTTTGAGCTCTGTTGCTACATGCTCGTAGAAGATCGGACGGATAAGGGAAGGGAGGGTTTCGTTGCCCGGTTTGGGGAAGGGCCGCTGCGATGTGGGAATATTCGTTGAGGATCACCCCGAATATCCCGTCCTACCATACCACTCGTCCTGGGAAATTGAGTAGGTGGATGACATTCTCGAGGAATTTGGAGTGGGAAATCAATGTCCTATAATGAAGCTTCGGTGCACAATGCTTTCCCAGTCGGATGCGTCGGGAAGTTCCCACGAATGAAAGACGGCGGTGAGATGAAGATAGAGATTTCGGGGAACTCACATTTATTGCCATCTCCTCGATTATTCGAGTCTTCGGAAGAATCGATCGTTACAGCTACACAATCCCCTAAGAAATCACGATTTTTCCAGCAAATTGTGCAAAACTTGATTACTTCTTCTGACGCATCTAGCATATCTACGCGTCCCGGATACTGGAACTCTTGATTTGACTGCAGGCTCCGCCAGGGAAGCCTCTCCACTAATAAAGCTCACGGGTGTCCCGTCAATGGTATCGACCAGAGTCCTCGTTAGGACCTCGTAGGCTGCCATTTTCGCAGCTTCTTCTGACCCACTCACCCGGAAGGGGAGCTTTCCCAAGCTCGAAATAAGGAAGAGAAAAACCATATCTGGAAAATATTTGGAAAATACTGCGTCCTGGTCGTCGGAGCTCAAAGCATCTCACTTGCGGATCGTCGTAAACGATAAAGCTCGCCGATCTGCCAAATACGCGACCTCGGATGAAGGCTCGAGTATAACACGCCAGAAAATATAAGACACTGTCTCCCCTGATCGTGAGGATCGCCTCGGGAGTCGCTCCGTTCGACTTATCTCCGAGCTCAACTCGCGATTCGGATGTGTATTTTTGCTGGACTTTCCTATCAAGAGAACTAATCATCACGATTTCGTTCACATTTAAACTCCGATGCTCTTTCGGGGTGCCATCTTGCCGCTATCGCTTGATGTTTGTGCGTCGACAGCGGAGAGTGAATTCCTCTCCTCAATTTGCGTATCGCCAAGACATTCGAGCTAGTGAGGAAGCTCAATCGGACGTTCTCCTCCGGAAGTCAGCGTACCGCTCCGTTATCCACATCGGTTTGCTTGGTGCATGCCCTGGCCAGAGGAGCAAGGTTGATGACTGGGACTCTTCTTACGCGGGGATTAAGGCATCAGAATCCTCCCCGGGTACGCTCCTGGAAGTACATTCAGAGCCCTTTCGGCTTTTTCCTTGTGGAATCGGTGTGGCGGATGAGATCACCCTGAGACATCACTCCATGCTCTTCTTGCGAGAATGCGTATCCATCTGCAATCCAATAATCAGCTGATGATGGTGCTCGCCTTTTTCCCTCACTTACAAGGCGTTGTCGTGAACAGATCATATCGAGACTCACGTTTCAATTCGACATCTTGCTGGCTCGAGGAGCTGCAGGGCTCCCCTGCGGATCTATAAGTCGAGGTCTGCGTCGGCGACATCGAGGGCGTTCGGAAAGCATTCCGGATAAGTCGTGCCGTCTCGTTGAACCTGAAGGCGCATCTTTCCTTAGTCCTCCTTCAAAATCCACGAGTGCTCGTAGCTGGTCTCGCCATCGAATTTATAGAAATGAATCGAGCGCGGCGAAGTTTGATCACACGAGACGTTCAGTACCTCCAGAGTCAGAGCACAGATTTCATTTGCACGCATGAACAGGGTGCAAGGATGTTCATGCATCTTCGACACATCACCGAATGAGTGAAGTGAGATGTATTAATTCAGTCGGGGATTTATTCTTGTCTCCCACTGGTTTAACGATAAGGCTTTCGTGGATCTTTCGGGCGTGTGTATGTACATACGGAGGAATTCTCATTCAACATTCGCATTCAGGCGGCTTCGAGAATGAAGCGGCGAACAGCTCATCGTCAAGCGCACGGCCGAACTCAGAAACCGTGTGTTTGCGGTACTTCTTGTCGTGGGCCTTGTCGGGCCCGGCCAATCGGGACTAAAGCGCGCGGAATCGATGCGGAACCCAGTTGTGCAAGGACCTCATTGTCACGTACGACACGATCCGTAACTGCGTGCCCTAGAGATGTGAAACTATTTCATTAGATCAGCGAGGATTCGTGATTGAGATCATCGGAATTCCGAATTCGAACCTCAAGCTTCTCGCGAGCTAACCGCAGCGGGGAACAAGCTGCTCGGCGGGAACGGAGGGAGAAGCAATCATCCGCATCACAGCTATCGCATACGCATGCGGCGTTCAGCTCCTCTAGAGGAGTCCCAAAGCAGCTTCCTCACTTACCACCGTTCCTAATCACCACATTAAAACGCTGCGACCTTTCACAGTCAACCAGGCGAGAACAATGATTCGTGTCCCAACCATCTCTGATCGTTCGACCTCTTCGGGCAATGGCTGGATGATTAGTAAGACTACGCTCGCAGAACAGTGTCTCGACATTCTCGAAGTCCGGAACGTCGATTCACAGCTACGCTACTCTTAATTTTCGATCCCTAGAAAAATGCAATTTTCACGCATGCCGTAGGGAGATTGTCAACCCCTGTCGGGACGGTTAGGAATTCGTGCGAATCGTCACCTCTAAACCACTATCCCAGCACGTGCAGCAGGATTTCGACGGACCCGAAAGCCCTCAAATCAAATTCGTTCCGACCACTGTAATGCGACTTGTTGCGGACTTTCATTTACCGATGCTTTGCGTTGCTCGTCAGCGGAACGGAGTCGGCATCTTGGATTTCGCTCTCGCGAATCGCCATCGCCAGCGTTTTGCACGTTGTCCGACGGAGCCTGCAGGGAAAAGAGTCAGTGCTTTCGCTCCATGACATGACATTGTAAATACCTTGGAGGCGACGAAACAATAAGGGAGGCTCTAAACTTACACGATGACGCAGAGGTCCAGCAAGAGTGCTGCCACTGGGACGAAGAGACAGCCGAACCAGAACAGAGCGGAAGAGAATACCATCCAGTCCTGGAAAAAGCACTCGGTGTCAGAGCCGACTTTCCAACATGCAAAAATATGCGTGAAAGGATCGCTTATGAACGGAACGGGGTCGGACAGGTATCCGACAGCCATCTTACCATGCCGGCCATGTCGGCACCGATGGGGAACCAGCGCCAGAAGTTCGAGTATAGCCATAGAAATAGAAACCAACAACCGATCGAGCCCCATATAGCAGCGTGCACTGGCCATGACCACGCATTCATTTCAAGACCAGCTTTGAGACAAACTGTGATGACGACGTAAGTGTAACACATGTTTCCCAACATTAGGTAACCACCGTCCCGTCCATGGCTCCAGGCCACGTCTTGTGTCATCAGGAACATCGAGATGAAATAAAGCACCAGCTGAAAATCGATCAATTGATTAGCGTCCTGCCCAGTCCTAGGCGCATCGATTCGTTCGATATTATCGGATGGATTTGATCCGTCCCTTGGCGGGGCCGAGAGCGGACGGAACTTACGGAATGATATACAGAGTTTGTGATCCAAACCCAAAATGTTTTCCTATTGAAGACGATCTCGTGCTGTTCTGGTCGATACAGCTCCGGGAAGTTCATCATCGTTTGCGCACTACACGTCCTATCAAACAGTCCGATCGCCAGAGGAGGCAGCGCCGTGAAAAATACATTGTACATCGCGATCGTCCATCTTTCGAACAGCGTCTGACCAGACCAACCCGAGTAAATGGCAAACCACATTTCGATTAGATACAGGCAGACATTCTTATGGAAGGAATACAGGATCAATTTGCAGAGCCGGTTATGGTTCCAGGCTCCGTGGACGAACAAGAGGCGACGTAAGAAGCGAAACTGCAACGAATAAAAGCACCTCACGTCAGACCGAGATACATCGATAATGATCACATGATTCCGGAAGGCTCAATGCGGTAGCGGATGCTGATATGTAGAAGCCCCTCAGGAGCGTGGACCCATCAATAGGCTCCTACCTGAGCGATGGAATAATCTGATGAGCAGGCAGCTTGAAGACCTTCCATACCGGAAATTCCGACCCCAACGTGGGCCGCTTGTATCATCGCCACGTCATTCGCTCCATCCCCGATTGCTAAGGTGATTGCATCGGTTTTCTGTCGGACCATATCAACGATTTCTGCTTTCTGCATAGGCGACACACGACAGCAAATAAGACACTTGACGGCAAGTGATAGCTCGACGAAATCCGCGAGCACTTCCGAATGCAATGCATGTGTGAGCGTTTTCCCATCGATTATCAAACCGATATTATTTTCTTGGTGCAAGAGATGCCGCCGTTGGGAAAGATGTTTCCGTACGCAGTCTCTGGTCGCGTCCAGCCCTTCTTCGTTGATCACAAGTAGTTCAATATCATTCGACAGAAGTCGCGTGGAGTATCCAATATTGATAGCGGTTTCCTGTTTGTCGCCCGTTAGGACCCAGACTTTGATATGCGCGCGGAGTAGATCCGCTATTGTTTCCGGAACGCCGTCTTGTAGGCGATCCTCGATAGCCGAAGCTCCGTACAAAATGAGGTTCTGCTCGATGCGGTCAGCCACAATGGCGATCTTTTCTTCTCGGTTCAAGATTGCTGTGCTCGCTTTATCGTACTCGATCCTCCACTCTTCGTATTCTTCGGCACTTATTTCAACAGCAGCCAAACACAGAGTGCGGAGACCATCTGTGGCAAACATTTCCAAATGTTCAAGGACGACGTCTGTCTGCGAGGAATCATTGCGATCCGAAAGTCGTTCGTATATCATAGTATCAGCCCCTTTGCACATCAGGATGATGCGATCTTCGGGAGTTCGAACGATGATACTCATCCGTTTCCTCGATGATGTGAAATCTATCACGTTGAGAATTTCATATGTCTTCCTCTCGCCGAAGATCTCGATGGTGCATTCCGCAGGCTTCCGAGTGGTGAAAACGAAGCCCACCTTAGCCGCTCCTTTGACCAGTGCGCCTTCGTCGGGAGAGGCGGCCTGATAGGTGAGCTCGCTAGATTCTGGACTGGGTTCAGGGACGACTGTGTGGCACACTGCCATGAGAGTGAAGAAGTTTCTCACTTGCTCCGAAAGCTTATCCTTACACCGTAGAATAGACTCTATCTGACTCGGGTCCATGCCGGTTTCAGTGTCTCCGAAAGTCTGTCCCCCGATCGAGCAGCGCTTGAACTCCATGATATTCGAGGTCAGGGTACCGGTTTTGTCCGAGAAAATATATCTGACGGCTCCGAGCTCCTCGTTGAGGTTGGAAGTCCTCGCTTTCGCAGGTGTATCGGTTTCTTCGTGGTACATCTCCATGTCCTGGTTGATGTAGCTAGCTTGCACGTAGCGCACCACTTCGAGGGCGACTTGTAGCGATATGGGAATAAGGTTGTTGTATAGAATGGTGAACGTCAAAAAGTTGAAACCGAAGTTCACTGGAACTCCATCCTTCCAAGGAATGAACAAGAGAAACTCATTGCCCTTATTCCAGATCTCCGACGCGATCGCCGATATCAAAGATATTATGATGAGGATCATGAACATCATGATGATTTGCTTATTGGTCAGTTTGTCCACTGTCGATCTTTTAAGTGGAGGTGCTGTGGAGTTCTGTGGATCAGAAAGAATTCTCAGATGAGAATATTCAGGAGATTTGACCTTCGCGGCCGAGCGATGCGATTGACAAGATTCGAAAACTATGATCATTCGAGTCGGAATGAAATTTTGATCATGGAACTCACCATCATGAGTTTCGATTCGTGCCCAGTGTAAATGACAAAGCCAAATACCCAAGAAGTATTTTTTAATATGGCACCGCGGAGTAGAATTGCATCATTATTAACAGGTATCGCTTTTTGTGCAAGGCCTTGATCCAGTTGGATGTTACCACTGAACTCATAGAGGTGCCGATTGGGATTCTCGCAATTGACGACTCCCGTGACCTTCTCGAGGTCATCGGACTTCATCCAGACAGGAAGATCTTTGGGTGCTTGACGAACCTTCAAATTCGTCTCACCGTCGAGATTTGCAGTTTCAATGTAACACATTCTTTCAGTTTCACTCGACGATAGCAGAATCTGAAACGAGCAATACAATCTGAAGTATGAGGCCTCCCAGTATTCCCAGAAGGGAGTGTTCACTCATTGAGCTTGAAGCCAGCCTGAGCCAGACGACTGGATCCTACCATGTCTGCTGGGAAGAATTGACCGGATGTGATCTTGAGGAAGTCTCCGACCACAACCTCATTCCACATTATGTCCACCCATTGGGAGGGCCCTTCTTCATTGACACGTCTCAAAGCTTTAACTTTACTTCGATTGACCGCGCGATCTTCCACGTGCCTTTTGAAGTCTTCAAATATCTCTTTGATCGCAGAAACAACCAGAATAAATACCAGCGGTACAGCCGTTGTAAAACGACCAGTGGGGGAAACGCCGGGAATTTGCTGCGAGAAAAAAACCAGATTCAGCTCCTTGCGATCGGTGGCGAAGCGAATGATGATTTCGACTGGTTTGCCTGATGCACATCGTGGAGCGAGATGAAGAGTCACTCGCATAAGTTACTCACTTGCATGAGAGCGACGAAGAGGAAGAACACGTTCGCATATCGCCGAAATTGCTCGTAGAGGAACTTCGGCACGAACGTGTAGATCGAATATTTCGCGGTGGATATCGCATTGTTCCTGAACTGATGTTGTTTCAGAATCCCGTTGATGGGAATGCTCCGATGTTCGTCGCCTCTGTCCAAACCCAATGCCTCCTCATCTGCAAAGTGTAAATAATGAGAACTGAGAGCTCCGGGATCCGCTCGAACCTGATCGATACCAGGGCAGCGAGACCTCGCTCAGGGACTTATGACTTGCGAGAGCCTGCTGTCTTTGGAAAATGATGCAGTGACGGGTCGTCATCCCTAATCGGCGTTCTCAGATTGTGATTTGAGGGACTAGACGACTCCTCGCTCGAGCCCCGTGTCGCCAGGCCAGTGACCGACGTGGTCATGCTTTTCGAGGCCTCGAGGATATATGCAGATACGCGAAGCTGGCGTAGCGCGATTCACCAAGACCTCTCATATAATAGAATAGCAGGGACCATTTGATCCGGCCGGCAGGTCGGCGCAGCCTACGTACTACCGAATCTCCACTTTGCATGAACGGATCCGCCTGCGTCACTGCGTCCACCAAATAAGGGCTCGCATAGTCCGAGAGCGAGCCGAAGCGATCGTATCACCACGCCCCTTCCTAATAGCGGGCCCACTTTCCTTTACGAGACCTCCCGTGACAGAATGTGGCACGACTGATTCAGAACCCTATTCCGCTATCGCCGGCGAAAAAAGGTGACAAAATTCCTCATATCTCAGCCAGCTCAGACCGTGGGCGCTGCTAAGTTTTGGTCTGCAAAATCTGCATTGTTATCAGGTGATGGCTCTAGAGCAGCGACTGAGACGGAGGAGCGGAAAAACGTTTTCCGTACTGCGATCGCCAGAACGAAAAGACGATGCATTCGGATAAATCAAATCAAACCGTCAGATCCGTGTCTCCTTCTGCTCTTCGACTCCGTCCTTCCGAGGGAGACAAATGCATCCCAGGCCCTGTCCTTCGCAGTCTCCGAGATGAGATACTTGAGATCGCCACGTCTCCAATCTCGGGTCGGGAAGAATCGGGAGCCCGTATCCATCTCATCCGGGAATTGGGGAAACAAAACATTCCCGAACAAAATTCTTCTGATATCACTGACTCTCCTTCCGTACCCAGCAGAGACTGATTCACTCAAAGCCGATGAGAGCTGAACGGCTATCAACATCGACTGCTCGAAAAATCTTCGCCATGGAGCTTCTCAGCCACACTCGCAGCCGTCGACGGCGGCTCCAAGTATCCCGACTGGAAAGGCTGAACAAACTATGCCAACTGCACAATACTCTAGCGTGAGCCAAGTCGGTAATGAATTCACGGAAGAACCTCAATTCGTTGAATTTCCTCTCGTGGTCCGAAGAGCTCGTCCACATTTCACACACGTCAGGGAGACGAATTCGAATTCGTTTTGAACTCAAGAGAGTTCCTAAGCCGAACGAATCGGAACTCGGAAGTCTATTGATTGAATATAATTCATGAGAGCTGCTAGAACTGAAACTGTTCCGCCGTTCCAAATTTCGAGACCGCGAGCCGTGGAGCGATCCAATAGCTTCCGTCCCGGGACTCGACGCGAAAGTCGACAGATTTGTTTCGATAGGCTCGGGGAAGTTTATCCTAAACGTGCCATGTGACGGGTAAGATGTCCCTGAAGCTTCCTCCGCCTAGAACTCTCAGCTCGGAGACAGAAGACCGCATTGTCTTTGGCCTCTTCACTTTCTTGTCTTCGAAGCGTTGCCGTCTCACGTTTGGCTAAGACCCCGCCATTGTTTCTCCATCTGAGATGGAGGGTGTGGATTGGTAAGAGCCCTCTTTCTGGCCTGCGTCGATAGTGTTCCAAGAGAGACGTCTCTGACAGCCGAACCTCAAATAAGACTGAGTCCACTGCAAACAGGACTCACTCGTCAGTTGAAGCCCAGAACTACACCAGAGAACGACTCCCAGAAACCGAAATGCTGCAGCTCAGATGACGGACGTTGTCACTGACATCTCCGGGAAGGCTCACTCACTCACTCGCACTCTTCCCTACCTAACGAGGAGCATCAAGGCTGCTCTGTTGTCTACTGTTGTAATTCATCCACTTATCGCGTTCTCAGTCTTTCGGTGCAATATCATGGAGCATGGGTCATTCCCTCTTTGTTCAGTATTTCCACAGTCGAAAATTTTCCCTGCCTCGATCGGTGGCTGCGTCTGTCCGCCGCGAAAACCGCGGGAAACAAGTAGGTCAGTCACCACGAGCAGTGGATCGCCGTCAAATATTCGAATACTCACCCTCGGTCGGCGGGCGCATGAATTTCAAGTGAGAAATGCCACTCACTCAGATCAGAAGTGAGCTCGACTCAGAGGGAGGAAAACCGCAAACTACGATCAAGAACAAACGGATAAAGTCGACGCAGGAACGCATGGACGACAGCGCCCCTTCGTGGCAAAGTTCGGAGTCCAGATGTTCCGGTATCAAACAATCGCATGAAAGGCAGATCTGCGGCTCTCGGTGAGGTTGGCTCTCGTTAGAGCTCGAGTAGAACGAAATGGAAGGAATACGATCGTTGCATCACCAACGACAGCGACCGAGCAAATAGTCGGAAGTCATCTCCTTCTCATTCTCTATCGTTCTCTCACCGAATCGCTCTGAACAAGCGACGGACTAAACAACCGAATGAACGAGCGCCCAGGTAGGCGGCGCACAGAGCTACCACTGGCCGCATGCCAGCAGGACCGTCGATCTGCCGGTTGACACTTTTTGAGTTACTGCGTCTTTTTTGAGCTTCACGGCGGTCCGACAGCTAAGATTCGGGGGTGTAGCCGAGAAACGAGATGATGCCTCGCGCCAACGATCGAGCCAAGATCACGAACGCACTCGTGGTTCGATCTGCTCCTGCAACTTGTTCGCTGTCACTGCGAAAATTCGTGGAGAGCGGGCGCGTTCCATCGTGGTTTATGGTAGTCGCCGAAGGCTAGCTGATCTAGCATGGCTCCTCAGGAGGAAAGCGTAAATCGAGCGCCCCGGGAAGGAGGTAAATAAATTGATCGACGGAGACGAGGAAGTTTCGAACGAAATTGTGCAAGTTTCGCGCGCGTACCTTGGTCGTTACTCAAGTCATCGAAGACGGTCAGCGATTGACCTGAAAGCCGCGGATGGTTCATGTTTGTCACTGACACGAGTGGAGGATATCACTGTTGATGCGGCTTCGTTCAGAGAAGTGCTTGTTCAGCTCTTCGAACATGTCACTGACGACGACACCTCCTCCTGATGTAGTTTCTGCCACTCCCGCTGTCGTAGTTTTCGCCGACTGATCCTTGCGATACGTCAGCCATGACTACGCCTTGGGTACGCTGCCGCTCACCGCGTCAACCTCTCCCCCTCCATCTATCTACAAAGCAGTCAAAGTCGCCGGAGACAATTCTCTCCTAGCGCACTATCACCGTCACCTAAGGACACTATTGGAAAACCCGCAGAGAATGCCTCCTCAGCAGGGAACTGCCCGCTCGATGCAGCCTCCCGCACCACACACCGGTCTCGCGCGTAACTTTGAATTATTCCCAGCGGTACGCTCGGTCTTCTGTGGCAGGATCGCGATGCGCTCGCGCGGAAATAACGCACTTCGAACAGACTCGATGGCAGGCGTCGTAAAAGTGATCGATGCGACGTTGATTCATTATAGCTCTCTTCGACATGCACGGAAAACTTGAGCTGTGCATCGAATATATTTAGTTCAGTCCAAGGGAACCCAAGGCGAGGAGCAGTCAAAGCGTCTCTGAGAACTGCATATCCCCCACGAAACGCCATCGAGCAGGCAATGCGTGACGTCGCTCAGAAAAAAATCTTTCAGAACTGAGCAAGAATCATTCAGAACTCAAAAATGAACTCGCTATAGCTGATCGCAGTTCGTGAAATTGATAAGCGATTTCCCGATCTGATAGTTGAGAGGCGAAGGCCTACTCTGATGATACGCACTATGCCCCAAGTCTGCGTCGAATCGATGAGCCATTGACTGTGGCCGCGCGGTCTTCCCGAGTGAAACCCTTTGGAGGAGGAGTTCGCCCGCCCGCTTGTCTCTGGTCTCTGGAAGTCTTCCTCCCAGCTCGCGAAGGAGACCTTCGGTGGGCTCTCAGAGACGCAAAGCGTTTCTATGGCCATGGGTCGGAGTACGAAGCGACTTTGGAGCTCTCAGTACATCGCGAGCTGGCCCCCCTCCGCCGTCTTCGCTAGTACCCCGCCAGCCTTGCGAAACGCAAGCTGCCGATCGGTCGGTGCCAACGTGACCCAGATCAAGGCGTCTTAGACGAAACTCGCCGGGACTCCAGGATGTCGATGACAGAGCGCGCTATTCGGGTGAGAAGATCCGCGTATGACCCCACTGTCGGATCAATGCTACCAGCCTCCGTCTCGATTTCGGAACTTCTTCAGGATGACTTTTTCGAGCTTGTTGGGCGTGGCCGGCTTTAGAAGCCGAAGAACCGAGACTTCTCGAGACGTCTCGGAGTGACTCACTTGTCCGAAGCAGATCATCGTTCGGGTTGCCTCGAAGCATTCTGTCAGCTCAATGCACATGGATCCATTTCGCCCCCCCCCCCCCTTAGTGGAGAATAATCATACGGTGTGATTGTTGCAAGTCGTCATAGACGCCGCTCTCTGTGCCGATGACGCTACGGCCGCATCCTTCCGATGCATTGATTCTTGCTCTAATTAGAGCACCGTTATGCCGAGTGAATTCCTCAATCGATCCCCGATCCCTCTCCTGCTATCCGATCGCGATATGTGAACGACGCGTTCCTGTTAGAGTAAAAAATCACTCTAGTAAGGGAAGAGATTCCGGAGATCGGGCGATTCAGCCGATAGTGTGCTCTACTCCTGACAACGACATATTCACGAACGAGGTAATTTCCTGATCATGACGTCGACGCAACGTTCTCTACGGACGCATCAGGCTTGAGAGCGGGGAAAGGGCCGTGAGCCCGGAGTCCACCCGAATGACTCTGGTGTCTGGTACCGATGCGAACAGATTCCTCGAGACTTGCAAGCAACGCTCTCAGTATCGATCACAGATCCGCTTTTGAACCTCAGAAGCTCATGGTCGTATAGCCCCGTCAGATTCAATCGACAAGAGTACGAGAGACCGCAGGAGAATGTATTCGGGCTCAAGAACACAATGAGGAGCGACAAGTGATAGTGCCAAACCGAAATCCATTTCGTATTTCGTGGAAGGAGGGAACTCGAGCGAATCTTTCTCTTGTTTTAGGAATGGCTTCTGCGAAATCAAGATAGCTCTCAGAAGCGCGGAAGAACCGTACCCCCGCCAGACTAGTCCCAAAAACGAGCACAGCATGGGAAAGCTCACTGAGCAAGCAATCATCCGACCTGAAATCACTTCAATGTGGGCGTACCCTTGGCTCCCTTGCGCACCTCCAATAATGTATGTGATTCGAGCGGGTCTCTTTCAGTCATGGCGGGGTCGGAGTCCCGAACAGACAAAGAAGTCACAACCGAACATAGCACGCGAAGAATCGAAGATTTCACGTTTGATGTCGTCCTCGGAGATTCCTCCTACCGGTCGACTCTCGATTATCCCAGCGGAGTTTACGAACAACTTTCACGAGCGGAGAGTGGGAGCAGTCGACTATCGGCGACGCGACGAAAGACCACTCGAAAGCGGAAAATGACATCTCGATGACAAAGCCCCGCGAGGAGGAAGTCCAGCGAGAGTCTTCTAGGAAACCGAAACCATCCGTACGGTTTTGAATTTTGACAGGAATAGCTTTGTGGAGAAAACCTGCTCCCCGGGAAACTATCTGTCCGCTCAGGACACGCGATAGGTGTCGCTTATCCATGACGAGACATGCGCTTATCCTCGGGATTTTTGACGGCCGACAGTCGTTCGGTGCTCTCTCGCCCACATTTCCCAAAACCTAGACGGGAGACCTAAGTAACGTTGACGTTCAGGCCACACCCTTCTGCTCATTTTATTATGGCTTCATTTTATTAGACAGACGAGAACTTGGCTCTCGCGGGAACGCCCAATTTCCCTGCAGATCTGGAAGACGATGGTCGCGACGACAACTGTTCGACTTGCAGACAGACCTGTGCACCGCGTTCCGGCTCAGTCAGTGAGGAACAATGCAAAGAAGGTTGTACGCTTAGTCGACTAGATGCCGAACCCGTGGTCACCCTGGAAGCCCGTCGGATTCTTCGAGGGAAATGAGCGTATTCCTGTGAAGGCGGGTCGTGCGATGATTTCTCCAGCCCAGAGTCGAGCATTGCTCCAATCTGTTGGAACAACCGGTAACGATGGTGTGCTAGATTACAGGAGGAGGTTCATCTCGGAAAGCCTCTCTCATCTGATTTCCCTCGAACGGGTCTGTCGGTGTACTCATACCCTACGGCCCGAGACCATGGCGAGACGTAAAGCAGGCACTAGCACATCCTAGCTCATGCTGCCAAATATGACTCCGCCTGGATTACCGCATGCTCCGACGAGTTTGCGAGGGTTCGAGCACCCGACCGCGCTGGAATCTTGAGGAGGACCCCCATCCACAATCCTGCTTTCTGCAGAAAACCGAATTCACGACACTCGGCGCTCTAAAGTCAAGACCTCGATCATGTTCCAGTCAGAATCGATTCAAATGGGTTGATGGAAGAAACATAAATGTGTACAATAATGATATTATGATTATTATGATACACCCCGTCCGACTGCTCGCTCCCGCTCCTGTGATTTAGGCTGCTGTGCTTTCGTGTCTCCACGATTAAGGAAACTCTGTACGAAGTCAAAACAAGGGGTATCGATCCCGGAGTGGTTCTGTCAGCATCTTGGAAGCGTGGTCGGCAAAGTTCGTTTATGAAATCCGGGACGATGAGACTAGCTCAGAAAACCGAAGTTCACTAACAAAGGGGACTCGAGTTTGGAATCGCGGTTCTAAATTCGGGTCGCCTCTGTCAATGGAGATTATAGCGAAGATCGATAAATGAACGGTGGGCTCGTCCGTCAAAGCCCGTCTGACTCCAGCCTCATCGAGGCAACAGGAATCGACTCCATCCGGATCAATGCCGCGTATGCCGTCAGCACTGGGGCTTTCATGCTCCTTCGACGGCCTTGAGCGAATGTTTGGCGAGCGATGTAACGGGAGGAGTCGGACGCGCGGACGTCCCACATGCTCTCATCCGCGGGATCCTATCTCGGCTGTTTACAATATCGCCGCGTATCGCCCTTGGAGATATGCTTGCGCATCAAATGTCCCTGTAGCTTGAGGCTGATCCGAATAATCATTCGTGAGGTGCTCATGGCTCTCGAGGGAGGTCCCGAGCACTAGTTTCTAGCGCTGAATCCGCCGCTCGCGAACGACTCATCACGGCATTAAGACGAGAACACGCGATGGATCATCATCGATTGCATCTCTCACGTCTCCCCTCGAAATCTGGGAGGTGGATCGTTTTTATGTGACTGCCATGAGTTTTTCTGCTGGAAGTCATGGCCCATGACTTCTAGTACGATGAGAGCTGTAGCAATGACCTCCATGAGGATCCGCTCTAGTGGAGGCAGAGGTCCGGAGGTCTCCGGTCCCGCCTTGTTCCGAGCGTCCGTGATTAGAGACTACCGAGTTCTGGGCATCGGAAATATATCGATGATAAATGAACGATGAAATGAATAAATGAACGAGACCCGTCGCGTCTCAAGGTCCCTCCCGACTCCAAAGTGCGGCAGGATGCGATGCTCACGAGAAGCGCAAACGAATCCCTTCGAATGCGAGCATACACATATGTACATATGCACGCAGTCGAGCTATCATCGCGGAACTTAGCCTGGACCGGAGCCGGGAAATCCCTCATTCAAGACAGCCCGGACGAGATTCCCTGACCCCGAAAAGGAGGGAGTCGAGACTTCCGCGATTCTTCGTTTCGATAAACGAGCTGACGGCCGCCGATTGACATCACGGGGCGCTAGGCCACCCGATAGAGATCTTGAATATCAAAGCGGGATCCTAGCTCTCGACACACAACGAAAATGACCGCTTGTTGCTGTACCTACTCTGGTGGGTGAGAGGAAACTCGGAAAGAAATTCCGAAACCTAAAACG